ATAAAACTTCAAAGTTATTCGATAGTTATAAAAACAAAACAAGTAAACAAACAAACATATTACCTCCAGCAATCCAATGAAAGATGATAGGTGAACTGTTGTATGACAGCCGAATGGTTGGCTGAATGGATGTAGCCTTCAAACGGATCAATCAAATTATTGCCATGAAATCTTCTCCCATACCCTTGATTGAGGTATTTAAGGAAGGAAATTCATCGCTTATAGTCAACAGAACGTGATTATGTGATCAACATGTTATGCATCATTTATAAACAAAACAAACAAATTTGCTTCATAAAAAACGGTAACAAAATGATAAATAGCAACAAAACAGCATAACATCAAACAACAAAGGAAAACAGTGCTTGCAAGCCTAGACCAATAACTCGTGTGCTTTAAAATGGGTATTGATTTTACGCGCACTGAATTAAAATCCATTCTACACATGCAAAAAAAGAAATGGTTGTCTACACGACTTTATCACAGTACAAGGAATAAATCAGATATAATCTTGCAATGATCCCGCAATTCAACCCCAATTAGGGCAAGGAGATTGACCTGCGGTAGACTACCTTAAGGAGAGGTTAGGATGAGAAATGAAGGTGAAGTACGACATGTGAGAAAAGTAGAAAAAGGTAGCAATCTATTAACAAAAGCAATGCAGAGCCTACGGGTAGAGGGGGTAGGGCTGTATTTACACCGGAGAAGGCAAAGGGAAGGCTTAGGTATTCGAAAAAAGTATCCCTTGCACAATCAAAAGATCGACTAACAAAACTAATCAACGAATTTCAATTCGAATCGACTTGGTAGGCAAGTTGTTTTTAAAGAAATCACAGTGATGATAACGCAAATTACTCAACAATTCTCGGAGGGCCACCCACCGTACTAACAATTACATTTCTGATCACAGATGAAGCTCTAGGAATAGCCTTTTCATTCAAATCACCTGCTGCTTGTGAAAACCTAGCCAAGACCTCTCCATCAATAACAAAATGCCGATTAAGATGCTCTATAAACTGAGCCACATCTTTCTGCTCGATGAAAACACATGCGTTCGGCCCTGCATCAAACGTGTAGGCGGCTCGAGTACCAGCTGATCCAGCATTGAACTCATTCACTGCTCGAATCACTTGCCATGATGTATCGGACATATACTGCAAAAAGGAGATAAAGCCAGAAGCTTCAACCTGGACCAATGCCAAAAACGAGTGAGTTGTTGACTGCCAGTGAGCTATCACAGTGAAGCAGGGTAAAAAATACACTCGGAAGCCTGTAAATCCACAAAAACATCAGAAACGGTTTAACTGAACGTAGATAAGTGAGATACTTCCGCACCTATTATCAACAACAAATCAGGAAATGATAAAATCAATGACTTATTGATTTTTCCCATGACGGAAACCATGAACGGCACCCTACTTCAGAACCTTGCCCTCAATCCTATTGCTTTTGTTTATTCCTAAACACGAAAACTCCGGTCACAAACATAAATAAAGCAACTAATTAATTATTCACATGCATACGGAGGAGTATACTTTAGTAGTTTTTTGTTAGAAAATCAGAGGTTTCTTATGTAGCGTGGATTTGTCCGATTCACAGCTGTCCTCACGGGTGAACAAAGTCATGGCCGATAAAATAGATGCATTGCAGTCACCAACTACGAGTATGGTAAGGGTAGACAACTTGTAGAATACTTTCTCCAACAGTTCATACCTTGAGTGGCGGGAATGTATCCATACAGACAGAGTGGAGTTGATTGCTATCCGACATAACAACACGCCCAAATTCAGGGAAATCTTGTGACTCGTACGCATGAATTAACCTTAATACTAGGATATACAGAAGAAGACTACTCACAAACCATTGAAATCGTACCTTCTGATTCTCTCAGGAACAACAACATTTGCTCGATATTGCATAAATTCGCTCGTCTGAACCGTACGTCGCATACCTTCACTGCTTCCAACTTCTTTTTCAGATTCATCCAAAATCAGTACAACTGCGCGGAGTTCTGGCCATGTTGTTTCAGGCGAACGCTGCTTAAATAAGAAATAAACTAAAATGAAACTGCTGATAGACGACGTCGAGGCGCTTGAGTCGTAAAACACAGGCTTATTCTTTCTTTCTTTCTCTTTTTCATAACTTTTTTTTCTTGACCATTTTCCAATTCTCTTCTTCCCGCATGTTTTAAACAATTTTGGAGCTTATCTTTCTGATTTGGACATCATTCAACTCCCATTATTCAAAGTGCGACTATTGCTCAAACGGACTTACTGTGGCAAAGCAATCAGCACCCGAAGGGTCAGATCCAGCCTCCCATTCCACCAATCCACCAAATACACTACGACACGCGCTTCCTGACCCTAAAAAAGTAGTTATGGGAGGCAAGTTCTAAAATTGTTCCTATTTATGAGTCCCTCATACGGCGTAATGTTGTCATTAGAGTACAGTTTGTGCAAAGGATAAAAGGTCCGCAAGCGATAAGATAAAACAAAGACGCGGGGACCCCAAAGAGATGAGAGGGGACAAGATAGACAAGTCGCTTATATGGGGTAAACAAACAAAAATGTCGACTGCAAGAGAGAAGAACTATGCGAATTACGTTACCTATTTGTAAATACCACGTCACATGATTACCAAGGAAGAATGGGTGAGCCCGGAGCAGGCTTGGCCAAAGCATAGAACCACGAAGCCATGTTTACAGGTAGTTGACGTTTAGCTGAGCATTATTGAAGAAATGACAGATGACACTACTTGCTGATGCTTAGGATGGGTACCGGTAAGACACGGTTAAGCCAGTTGCTCAGCAGATGCTTGCTCGTAGCTAGGATTCACCACCAACATATGTACATATGCGCACTGAAGAATTATTTACCTCTTCTTGCCAACACCGATATGTCCTCCAATGAGAAATCAAATAATGATCCTATTGCAAAAGCAATAGCTGCAAAGCCTGCAGCAGATGAAGCAAGGCCGGCGCCCACAGGAAAATTTGTGGTCGAAGAAATCTAAACATCAACTTTAAAAGCCTTATGCATTAGACCCGGGTACTTCAGTTTACCTGGAATTTATAATCTTCTGCAGCGGCCCCTTGTTGCACTCCACTGGTCGAGGCATGTTGTCGTATTAGCGCTCTGGCACACTAAAACACTCATGATCTGGCATTGACGAACCCGATTTGGAACTTTCAATCTCAAAAACTTCTGTAAAAATAAGAGAAACGGCGAGAAATATCCAAAAAAGACTACCGACAAAAAAAGGAAAAAAGGAGAGAAATATATAGAATGGTGAAAAAAATTGGGGAAACCACCAAAAAGAATCACAAGTTGCAGTCTCGATGAAGAGGAAGAGATAGCGATTGTTAAGCAAAAAGTGAACATGAATCTCCCTGTTGAACGGACTCAACAGGGGCGAAGCCAGGGGAATATGAAAATTTCGAAAAGTGAAAAAAAGCAAGTTTGGTTCGCTGCTGTAAGGAGGTGAAAAAGGTACGGGAAAAAGCATGCACATCAGGTGACTTTTACATAGAAGAATGTAAACTCTCGCAAGGACGAGGTCCCAATAATCAATAAGAACTTCAAATTCCGAAAAAGCTTACATTCAAACATTTCCGGAAACGATGGTTCTTCTTCACGTCAAGGTCCACTTCCACATCATTAATCGTTACCGAATCGAATTGAAAGCTTGATGAACATCGTACCCGAGTACGTGCGTAAAGAGCATCAATGTTCAATGAAAGCGAATTGTTTACGGGAATAATGAGATCCTGAAATCCAGTATTCCTCCATGAAAAAAAAAACACTTCGTGGAGCACTTCATGTGCTTGAACTCGAAAATGGCAAAAAACAAGATTACTGCTACAATATGCATGGTCCATTGAGTTCAGGATCAAGGCCATGAATGGCAGGCACCACTTCAGTGGAGAATGGTTCCGTCACAATGAATTCTCCAAAGTTTTGTTTATAACATGGCTCTCAACCTATCCCATACGAAGAGAAAATGACTATTGGACGGGAAGACATAGAAAGGAGATGTAAAAAAATATGCCTAACAGCTGGAATAAATACTTTTTTCAAACTCAAAGAAATTAAAAAGAAAAATGCCGAGTGGAGGGGGAACTGTTAAAGGATATGTGTAACAGATAACTGATTTCTGAGATGTGATCGATACGGTCTCTCGGTCATGTAGCGCAATTATTATGGGCATTATAATGATCGCTTTATATCGTGTTTCACCATTCTGCTGCAATCAGGAAAAAAACTTTCCTAAAAAATGCATTTTGCCATGCAATTCATATACGATGGCTCTAGAAGTCGTAATGTGGTAATGCGATCACTCACTCACATCACCATCTCTATAATCCCAGGTCAATGCTATCATCTTATGGGGCCATAACGTCGGTGGCTTGGGTATCAAGCAATTGGCATTTCACAGTTATTATCGTGTCCAATCCGTCAAGCTACAGTGCCTGATCAGAACGCCTTGATTGCTATGTAGCGACGATCCATATTAGTAATATGAAAAGTACAAAAAACATTTCCCATCCTACGGGGCAAGTTACGCAGAGAGAGGGGAAAAACGAGTAGGTCCGTCTTGGAAACAGACCAATGAATTCCGTAGAAGACCGGTACTGCTCTCATAAAAATTCGTAAGATCCGATTAATTAATTGAATTCAAGGACAAAATGGCATTTTACAGACAAAATAGACATTAGGCCACTAATTCAAAGCGCTAAACCTCCTTACCTCATCTTTTTTGCCCCAGTATTTGATAAGTGCAATGTTGATCGGAACCTCTACTTCTATAGCCCTATCGTAATCCATGAAAACCGTTCCGAAGCGCTCCTACAATATTTGTACGATAGCTCGATCAAAAGGGTACTACAGGCAGTACATCTGAGTACAACACTTATGAACATCATTGTCCACATTGATGGCAAAATCTTTATTTACCGCAGTGAAAAACGAAACGAAAAAAGACAAGGACACCAACAATGGTTGCACCAATGTTAAAAAAGAAGGAAGACTCGAATGCAGCTACTTTGAACTTTCACGAGCAGTTAGGCTTCACATTCCGGTCGGGGCCAGACGTAGAGATGAAAAGGAAAATGGAAGCTCCAGAACACGCCAGTGTTGGATCAAATCCTCGTTAACATTGCCGAAATCATGCATGACACGCAGTAAGGTATAAATGACAAAGAAAAAAGAAGCAAATATACAAACTAGTAAAAAATTATGAAAAGTCTATGCTTTATGCAAGTCGCCAAATGATGTGAAGCCCTGAGTCGGTTTCCACGATATCACTCATTTCACCAACGTCCAATGCAAAAGACGCATCCTCAAATGGTTTTTGCATCTGACGTCGTCCGAACGTCCCTGAAACAACATGACTCATTCTAGTTCGTTTTGATGAGTAATCCCTGCAGCTAGGCTACTTTGATTAAATCAGAAAATATGAGTGAATGGACCACCAGTAGTATGTAACCCTAGCCACAACGAAAGGCAGAAAAGTCACTTTGTTTAGAATGAAACATGGGCAGGAAGAAAATTCTCTACTTCAAAAGGCATCAAAATCAACTGATATGGCTCTACCGAATTCCCTACATCCGAAGAAATAATAGAAAAAAGACTGCATAAAACAAAGAAGGTAAACGAAGAATAAAACGACTCACCAAGATCACCGCCTCTTTTTGCAGAGCTACAATCGCTAAATTGTTGCGCCAATTTTCTAAAAGTCGCTTCTGGATTATTTGAACTTCTAATCTGACGAATATAGTCCTTCAGAATATTTCTTGCATCCTCCTTAGATCGTGTAATATTGTCGGATCTCCAGCTTGAAGGACGACGACTTCCGGCATGTTTTACAAGCAAGTGAGCAGCTCGCACTTGAGTGAGTTCTGAACCCTTCCCGAACGCTGGTTCTAAGGGACGTTCCCACTGACTTCGACCAGTTGCTTGGTTGTAATAGTACTCCTGGTTATTAGTGCGACTCATACGCTTCTCCCAACCAGCAGGGAGCGGTTGTTCGTCTGGGTCTACCATTTATAGTATTCCTGAAAACTGAAATATTACGTCTATGTTTATGACAAAACACAATCACAGAAAAATTTGCTGCATAAATTTGTGGATTCAAA